CATATTCAATTTATATGATACAGTTAGCTTGAGTGAATCTCTTCCAACAATATGGACACTTGTGAGGTTCTTACTTATTGAGGCTGAATTATTTTCTGACAGAATGGACACTCATGAGGTTCAGTGCTTGGATAAGATTCACAGCTACACTACAATTTTAATAAACTTACTGAAATGTGAGGCTTAGCCTCGCTTTTTAACCAACAGACAGATTTATAGGATATTAAAGTTACACAAGCATACAATTGGCCAATCATACACCAAATAACCTTCAATATACTTCTCTGCCAGTCGGGGTGCCTGTCTGACAAGTTTGCCAGACTGATTAACTCTCTTGTCGAGTTTAGGCACGATATTTTGCTACAGCGTTGCTGTATGATGATGTGGTAGCGTTGCTACGTGATTATCCTGCAGTTGCAGAAGAATGATTCGAGATAAAAGTTTATGAATGAAGGTGGAGGAAACCGTGTCACTGATCTCCACTATACACTATTTTATGTGAATGTTCTAGGATTTTCCTTGTAGATATTGTCCAGGTACTCCCCCAGTTCTAGAGAGTATTCACTGGCGATAAAAATGTTAAATAAGGTGTCCTTGAGCTGGTAATGTTCGCTAAGGATCAGTCACTTGTTCACTCATTTGTAAACAAACGCGGAGTGCCGCGAGGCATCGTCGTGGGCGCTTCTCGCCCCCCGAGATGCTCCTCCCTCTCCCTTGAGAGGTAACTTTCAATGAATATTGATTGATTATTTTTACAGTCTAGACTTATGATTAAGATAAGATGTGATTATAATATAATTAGATATAAGATTTAAAGATTATAAGTAGTATTTGAAAGTACCACTGAATCTTATTAAGGATTCGATTTTTAATCCTACCGGATGTTGAATCAATGTTCCAATAGTTTTTTAATTAAGAAGTCCTTCTAGAAGCTTCTGGATCCTTGAGAAATCATGTACAAAGTCACGTAGGCATCAAAAGGGCCCCTGTTGCGTACGTGTTCATGGTGCCATTGTCATCCAGGATCAAGCTATAAAATGAATCTTTAATGATCCTAATGATTTTGATACGATTAGATATGATTTTGATATGATTTAGATATTATACATTTCTTAGATGATTATTAGATATGGTGGGTAAAAATTTCCCACACACTGAACAAAATTTCCGTGTGAGCTATAGCCTAGCTCACTAGGCTATAGTGAGCCCGTAATATTTTGTCGTTTTAGATTTAGCTACTCAGAACGAAGTGTCCATGTAGCACGGGCTATGGTGAGCCCGTAAAATATATTTTGTCACTCATCCCTTCTCTTGTACCTCCCACCTCTCCCTTTACGAGTCTTTACGAGCGAAGGTTAAACGACAAAGGGCGAGCACTTTCGTGTCAATGACAGCCTATTCACCACCGCCCAGAAACACGCAAATTGCCAAATAAGTGTCACTTGCAATCAAATGCCAAACTACCCATCAATCACTCGAGGAACCTGACACGACAATGGGTTCACCCCCCCCCCACCTCACCCGCACGATGGGCTTTCTCTCGTTCAGTATGATTCGCCAGTTTTGTGTGGGTCGATGGTCATTGGTGCTGGGGACCCACATGCTGGCAACCGGGACTTTTTCCAGTTAAATTGTAAAATGTTTAGCAAAATATATTTATTTTAATATTTGTTAGCACTGTTGGTGATCTTTTTCCAGATGCTGGCCGGCGGTGGTCAATCTGTTTACCTCTTCGTTTTCTCATTTTGCCACTCCGTAAAAAATATTTTTTTTTTAGCCTAATAGCAACGTACGAATCCAAGCAACTCGGCTAACCTATCGAGACTGATATATAGAAAGTTTTGAACGTCAATATTTTTCCAGAACTCAGGTTTTCCTTCCTCCTCTCCCGTCAATATTTTTTGCACAGGCCCCGCTCCTGTGCCAGGTAAGTCTACTACGGGCTCACCATAGCCCGTGCTACCTGAAACTTTTTGTTCCAAGTAGCGAATCTTAAACAACAACAATGTTAATATTTGGATTAATGTTGAGTTTGATGTGCAGGGCTTCAGTAGCTTCACATTCCAGGAAGTAGTGCAATAGTGGCGCCTCTGCTTCTGTTCCACAGATATGACACTCTTTAACTATTGGGTTCATTGCCTCCCAGCAGCACTTGTAACAAAGTCTGAGTCTGTGTATGGCTACTGCAATGTCTCTGGATATCCTTTTGTTAGGCTTGAAAGTAGTACCCAGTGGCTTCTTCGTACCATATCGCAGTGGATCTTCCTTCCGCTACTTTGACTCTGTGGAATGTGCATTAGATGCACATTCCACAGCCACTACAATGATTAGAAAAGCCGTTAAGAATGGGACTCACTAGTGAACTTTCTGCCACCAAGATAATGTTAATAAAACAAGACTAAAACAGAAGCGAAAAAGAAACAGGGAAAAAGGTGGAAACCCCACCTCCATTTAATACTTTGACCCAAATATCAGAGTAACAAGGTTATCGCGAATAACCGAACTCAATTCCGGGCTCACCATCGCCCGTGCTACATGGACATTTTGTTCTGAGTAGCTAAATCTAAAACAACAACGTCAATATTTGTACTAATTTTTAACGGATTTGAAGATTCCGTAAAAATATGCGCCGTGATAAATGATAAGTTGGGTTGTAGAATTCTTGAGTGGGCAATTTTGCCTTCGCAGTAACATAATCTAAAATGACATTGAAAGTTTGTTTGAGGAAGAGTATGGAGACGGAGGAGTGAAGAGGTGCAAGCAGAGGAAGAGGGAAAAAGAGGCAGCGGAGAGGAAGGAAGCTCCCCGCTCCTGTGCCAGGTAAATCCACTACGGGCTCACCATAGCCCGTGCTACTTTGAGCTTTTGTTCAGAGTAGCTGAATCTAAAACAACAACAACGAGGAAGGAAGAGAGGTGGAGGTATGGGGGAGGGGGGGGGGAAGCTTGGCCGTAATTATTGCAGATCAGCAGGTGTGTACCCAGGCCAAGCACCTTTAGGTAAACTGCATTAAGTCATTCTAGTAGCGTGGGGCATTTTCAGTTGCGAGAGAGTTACTCAACACAAATTCGAAGGAAAATCGTGTAGATCGTGCGAATTAATGAGTGAATAGATAAATGAACAAATGAATTGACTAATGGAATTAATTGATGAATGAGTGTATGAGGCTGAAGCTCTATAAACCGAGCTGTTGAGTAGTCTTAATAAGAAAAGTTTCTAGAAGCAGTATCCTGCTGCTAAAGTGGAATTTTCCCAATTGATGAATGAGTGTGTGCAAATTTGGGTGCCACTTTAAGGGGTGTACTAATATAAAAAAGTAAAAACAAAAATAAGCAATGTCTTCTTTTTAACATTTTCCAGGTAAAAAACAATGAACAAATTATGCTACATCATTTTAGCAAAAATTCCAGAGATAAATGTAAACAAAACAAACAAATAGGCTGCATCACCTTTTCCAAATTGTCCAGGTTTATAGAGATCATGTTTGTTAGATTACTGTATTATATTTAAAGTATACTTATTGTAATTATTGTTGCTTTTTTCTCAACTTTTAATAATTTTGTATAAATATTATACAAAGTTATTACCACATACTCACCACAGCTTAGTTGCGTCTGATGCAGTTGGCGTTGCCGTACACTGAGGATGATAACGTAGGCTAGATAGTGAGCTTGTTAGTTGTGGTACATGGTGTAGCTGTTGACGTTGTCGTTGTTAACGACATAGTTATTGTGATAGTTGTGGCTGAGAGTATAGCGTGTTGTGTGTTGTTGTTGTTGTTGTGATAGCACTTGTCTGGTGTGGGAGGAAGGGGGAGGTCCCCAGACTGGCGTGGGAGGAAGGGGGAGGTCCCCAGACTGGCGTGGGAGGAAGGGGGAGGTCCCCAGTCTGGCATGGGAGGAAGGGGGAGGTTCCCAGACTGGCGTGGGAGGAAGGGGGAGGTCCCCAGACTGGCGTGGGAGGAAGGGGGAGGTCCCCAGACTGGCGTGGGAGGTCCCAGACTGGCGTGGGAGGAAGGGGGAGGTCCCCAGTCTGGCATGGGAGGAAGGGGGAGGTTCCCAGACTGGCGTGGGAGGGAGGGGGAGGTCCCCAGACTGGCGTGGGAGGAAGGGAGAGGTCCAATACTTATACTTGCCTAATAGTGTCACCTGGGATTGAGGTTTAGCTCTTTATCCTCCTCCTACCAGCCTTGTATTTTTTTTAGTTATAATTTAACCGTGCTGACATCCAAATTTTTTGTCGAATCTGGCCTTAAAGTTGTGGATGGAGGTGGCTTCCACAACTTTTTCCTTTCGGTGCATTCCACCTGTTGACCACCTGTACTGAGTACAGGTGGTGAATTTCCTTACATTCCTTTGGCTCATTTGCGTTTCCAGCTTCCACCTGTGTTCTCTTGACCGGATTTTTCTCAGTTTGAAGAGATTATCCGTGTCCAACTTATCTATTCTCTTCAGCAGCTTGTATGTTGTGATATTATCCCATCTTGCTTCATTTATCCTATATGGTTGAGGGATTTAGTTCCATTAGCCTCTTATTGCTTAACCCTCCGAGCTCTGCCACCAATCTTGTCGCAAACCCATTTACTCTTCAGTTTTGGATTTATGCTTCTCATGGTGCTGCATGTTCCAGTATTTGTCTAACAAATGGTATGTAGGTTGTTTTGAAGGAGGCCTGATTTGAGTTTCTAAACGAAGTTCATATATTTGCCAGCGTCCCATATGCTGCCGATGTTATCCTGTTTATGTGTGCCTCTGGCATTAGTGTTCTTCACTAAACTTTCTTTCCTATTCCTGTCGTTGCCTTCCCCTTATGGTGTAGATGTCTTCTGACCTCCTCTCACTTTCCCGTCATCATTCCCTTACACTTGTGTGGAAGGGAGAGGTCCCATGTTGTGTGGGAGGAAGGGGGGAGGAGTAAGGAAGAGGTCCCATGGTGGTGTGGGAGGAAGCAAGAGAGAAGTGTGGTGGGATAGTGGGCACGGGGGAGTCAGTCAGTGTGAGCGGGTCAGCGGAGGAGAGCGGGTAGGAGTGTGGTGCCTGGGCCAGCTGGCAGTGTGACTGAGGTGTGTGGAGGGTGAGGGTTGGTGTCGCTCGTGTGTGTATGTGTGTGTGTGACCAACACTGATGGTCTCCGGGCGTGCCTCAAGCACTCGCCTGCTGCTGCTGCCCCTGCTCTTCCCTGTTTATAAACTCACTTGCAACTTTTATTAAATCCTATAAACACTCCAGATTTTGAAATAGGACGCGGCATTGCAAGAGTATGTCTTAAAGCACTGATGAAAAGTTATAGAATTATATAGGCTTTATAAATGTTTTAAGTGCTAAACATATTAAATTGTTGTGCTGTATGCCCGCGCTGCACTGGGCATGCCTCCGAGCAGCAATATTGATGAAGCAATCGTGCCCACACATCAACCGTGTAAATAAACGCACATGTGTTGCACGCCCGTCAGGATACCCTCGTGGGCGACGCAGGCGTTGAAATTCTCCCCCCGACGTGCTTTGACCGAGGAAATTCCTGGAAAAATGTCAAGTGTAGGAGTTGGGCGACATGTTGCGAGTGAGCGACTTACGGAGATGGTACTGGACCAGCCTGCAGGGTGGTTGTCACCTGGTAGTGTGTGTTGACCCGACGTCACCAGTGGACCAGCCTGCAGGGTGGTTGTCACCTGGTAGTGTGTTGACCCGACGTCACCAGTGGACCAGCCTGCAGGGTGCTTGTCACCTGGTAGTGTGTGTTGACCCGACGTCACCAGTGGACCAGCCTGCAGGGTGCTTGTCGCCTGGTAGTGTGTGTTGACCCGACGTCACCAGTGGACCAGCCTGCAGGGTGCTTGTCGCCTGGTAGTGTGTGTTGACCCGACGTCACCAGTGGACCAGCCTGCAGGGTGCTTGTCGCCTGGTAGTGTGTTGACCCGACGTCACCAGTGGACCAGCCTGCAGGGTGCTTGTCGCCTGGTAGTGTGTGTTGACCCGACGTCACCAGTGGACCAGCCTGCAGGGTGCTTGTCGCCTGGTAGTGTGTGTTGACCCGACAGCACTAACCTGCACCCCTGTTACTCAACCCGTTCTCCTAAGCGCTCCCAACGTCGCTAAAGTGATGCATTACATTACCAGAACCTAACCTACCCGAAGACCCACGAACAAAAAAACGGGACATGTCGATTTCGCGAGCCGCTGTCACTTTTAGTACATTAAGTTTTGGTCTTAGGGGGGAATTATACGTCAAAATACGATGTACTATTCAGGAGAACGGGTTGGTTAGTTATCTGCCAGTGTCCCTCGGGCGTGCCTGGATACTTGTATATGCAGTACTCTTAGGAATTGTTACTGCCTGACGTTTGGGTGGGGGGTGGGGGGGGGGAGATATGATTTTTGTTAAACAGTGACATTTACAATATATTCTGTGCCAGCTGTATTTGAGTGTATGTGTTCTTATACCTGCAAGTGCTTGCGGGTAAGAGGATCTCTGCTATTATGGTGGATCCTATTCTATATTTACTACGTCTCTATTGTATCTCGTGTTCTTGTTTACATTTGACACGTGTGGCTGCTCATCGTCCTCTTGCCATCCGTATTAAACACTGTCCTTTTCCCTCTCGTCAAGATCGCAGTGAACCGATCACGAGTGATGGAAGGTTTAGTTCCCGTACCCTGTGTTCGCGTCGAGGTCCTCTTCACTTGCCTCAATGTGCTCGTAGGCTCGAGGGTAACACTTTTTTTTAACATTCTTGTACAGCCACTAGTACGCTTAGCGTTTCGGACAAGTCCTTAATCCTATGTTCCTTGGAATACGATCCCCGCGAAAATTCGTTTTTACAACCAGGTACACATTTTATTGTTGGGTTAAACAGAGGCTACAGTTAAGGATTTGCGCCCAGTAAATCCTCCGCAGCCAGGATACGAACCCAGGACAAAGCACTCGCGAAACGCCAGGCGAGCGTCTTAACCACTACGCCACAGAGACTAAGATCTGACTGTAAGGTAAGACTGTAAGGTCACCTAAGGTCTGCCTCCCTCCTATCCCTTGACCCCCAACCCTCCCGTTTCCTATCATATTTCCTTTGAAAACTGCTTATTAAATTTGCGTATATTTATTTTATTTATTTATTTCTATATATACAAGAAGGTACATTGGGTTTGTGAGGATACATAGCATGGTGTTAACAGTCTCGTAAAGTATGTGTCCCTGCCTACCCACGCCTTTCCACTTGTTCACTTTCCTTACAATGAAGAAGTTCTTCCTAACATTCCTTTGATTCATCTACGCTATAGTTTTAATGTGTGTTGGTTCTTACATTCCCATGTTACACATATCTTTACCTGAATGTACCTGAGGGACCACTCTCTCTCTAGTGGCCCCCAACCGGAACAGGAAACCGTTGGCTTGTCATAGATCCCCTCCCCCCCTACACCCCTCCCTCATCCCCCCCCCCCCCTCATTCTTCATGAGGATATTTTTTTTGTACAACTGGAGTTTGAAGAGAAGTTCAAAGTCTTGGCATTTACGGCTTCGGCGGGTAGGCGGTTCCATGGGTTTATAACCCTTGCCCATACTCCCCGAGTCTTGTACCTCCTTATTATACCTTTGAGTCCTGGGTCGTTTGGTGGGGGAAGAGTCCCATTCATCTAAGCTTTATTATAGCTACATTCCAACCTCTGTATGGAGTTAACTTAGGTCAGAGAACTGCGTGCTCTGTGCACACAGGACTATCCCGGCTCTGAGATAACTTACACCAGACTGTGCACTTTTGACTCTGCCAGGCCACGGTGATGTGCACCAGACTGTGCACACGATGATCTCCAGTCGAGTGTTTGCGCGTTAAACAATGCAGATGTGTCTGAATACTATGGCTGTTTATTCAAGCGAGTACACACACACACACACACGCACACGCACACACGTGAGCGCTTGAGAGGCTGTGTACACGTGACTGGTTTGTAGTGGTGGCTGGATCTTTCACTCGCCAGCTGGGAAAACAGTTGATGTGGCCCAAATCACTCTGGCTACCGGGATTGCATTTGTATTCCTCGCCTTTCTCTTTTACCCTCCTATCTTCACCCCCTCTCTCGAAGTTATTCCCTCTCCCTCTCTCCTCATTCCTCCCTCCCCCTCCACTCATTCCTCCCTCCCCCTCCTCTCATTCCCCTCTTCTGTCTCTTCTTTACCCTCTTCCTACATTTCTATGCCACGTTTCGTTCTACTCATTCTGTGCCTAATAATTTTCAATTATCACAAATTTTCGTTGAGACATCATTTTTTAATTAATCTGAGCCCTCTTGTTATCCCGTTTTCTTTGTTCCGATCCCCTCTTTCATCTTCACATTTTCTTTATTTCTGCACTTTCCACCCGTTTTCTTAATCGTCGTTCTGGATCGATTAGCGCAGATGGACGGAAACGTTTGACCATGTTGCCTTTCACCTGATGCCCCGTCTCACCGACCAGTAAATAGGTACCCGGAAGCTACGCGACAATTATGGGATTCATTCTAAACAAAAAAGACATTGGCTTGGGGGTCGTCTTACAACCTTTCATATCACATTCCCGACCACGTTCTCACCTGTGAACCCCTTACAAGAAAATAGATGGAGCTGGCGACAAGTGCATCTGTGCCTACAGATCATAAGTCCTGCATCGTTATACCCCGTGCAGATGGTAACGGAAGACCGTCGCAGGACAGGGGTTTGAAGACACCAAGCCGGGCCAAGGTATAGATAGTGAGCCACACGGCTAAGCCGGCCAGATTGCCAGTCAGTAATGTATTGATACAAATGTCAAGCTGGCCAGCCTCGTGGCAAGATGGTCAGCCGCGTGTCAAGCTGGCCAGCCGCTTGTCAAGCTAGCCAGCCGCATGTCAAGATGGTCAGCCACGTGTCAAGCTGGCCAGCCTCGTGTCAAGCTAGCCAGCCGCGTGTCAAGCTGGCCAGCCGCATGTCAAGCTGGCCAGCCGCGTGTCAAGCTGGCCAGCCTCATGTCAAGCTGGCCAGCCTCGTGTCAAGCTAGCCAGCCGCATGTCAAGATGGTCAGCCACGTGTCAAGCTGGCCAGCCTCGTGTCAAGCTAGCCAGCCGCGTGTCAAGCTGGCCAGCCGCGTGTCAAGCTAGCCAGCCGCATGTCAAGATGGTCAGCCGCGTGTCAAGCTGGCCAGCCTCGTGTCAAGCTAGCCAGCCGCGTGTCAAGCTGGCCAGCCGCATGGCACTGTAACACCATAAATTATCTTAGTTATAAATTAATATATGGAGAGATGAGTGTAGCAGGAGAGGAAAGTGCGAGACTTGACGGAGAACCCTTCACTAGACAACGGTAACTGCCACTTTAATGTGCCGTAATGGCACCTTGTCCCATGAGGTCAGGTGGTTGGGGAGACGTGTTAATGACCCAGTCGGAGGCCACAACTCGTTAATCGGATGATTGTCACCTGTGTTGGGTTGCCTGATGCCATCCATCAAAGCTCCGTCACCTGTCCATTGTTTATGTATCAGCTTACCCTCGGGCTGTACCTCATGATGGGGGTGGCTTAGGTCCTTGGTTCCTGGGTAAATACCGGAGCAGGTCTGGAGAACAGGAGCCAGATTCACGAAGCAGTTACGCAAGCACTTACGAACCTGTACGTCTTTTCCCAATCCTTGGAGGCTTTGTTTACAATTATTCAACAGTTAATGAGCTCCGAAGCACCAGGAGGCTGTTTATAACAATAACAACAGTTGATTGGGAAGTTTTCATGCTTGTAAACTGTTTAATAAATGTTACCAAAGCCGTCAAAGATTGAGGAAAGATGTACAGGTTCGTAAGTGCTTGCGTAACTGCTTCGTGAATCTGGCCCCTGGCCCTGTCTGGCCTGGGTACAGACCCCGTCCTTACCGTCTCCTGTCGTCATTATCTTGGACCACAGTGATTGATGTTTGTGAGGTATTGTATGGTATACCCTGTGTGGTATTGTATGGTATACCCTGTGTGGTATTGTATGGTATACCCTGTGTGGTATTGTATGGTATACCGTGTGAGGTATTGTATGGTATACCCTGTGTGGTATTGTATGGTATACCCTGTGAGGTATTGTATGGTATACCCTGTGAGGTATTGTATGGTATACCCTGTGAGGTATTGTATGGTATACCCTGTGAGGTATTGTATGGTATACCCTGTGAGGTATTGTATGGTATACCCTGTGAGGTATTGTATGGTATACCCTGTGAGGTATTGTATGGTATACCCTGTGAGGTATTGTATGGTATACCGTGTGAGGTATTGTATACCCCTGTGAGGTATTGTATTTCCTCTATGGCTTTAGTTCATGTTGGTTTTTTGACATTGATACGTGAAGAGTAAATAATTAAGGAGTACTAAATATGTCGACCATTGCTGGTGTTGTGGTGCAATTGTTCGAGATGCCACTAGATGATCTGTGCTTCTCGAGATGATTTCGGGGCTTTAGTGTCCCCGCGGCCCGGTCCTCGACCAGGCCTCCACCCCTCAGGAAGCAGCCCGTGACAGCTGACTAACTCCTAGGTACCTATTTACTGCTTGCACTGTTACCTGATACCCAGGAGTGAAGGGCACTCACTGATACTACTTATCCTCCCACGAGGTTCATCAGGAGGTTAATTGTTATCTTTACATGGATATAAGGTTCAGAGACAAATCCAGTTTTGTTTATAGAGTTGTGTTAAATGGATGTTGGCAGGACGGTTTTTTTCCTTTCCACTTTTAGCTCCTATCCTTGCATTTATCTCTTCCACTTTTAGCTCCTATCCTTGCATTTATCTCTTCCACTTTTAGCTCCTATCCTTGCATTTATCTCTTCCACTTTTAGCTCCTATCCTTGCATTTATCTCTTCCACTTTTAGCTCCTATCCTTGCATTTATCTCTTCCACTTTTAGTTCCTGTGTCGTACTTTTCCTTTTTACTGCTAATTCTTTCCTCTTTATCTCCTTCCTCTAGGCTTTTTCCTTTATTAGAAAACCTATATTTCAGTTTTTTTCCATTTCCCCCTATCACACACTTAATCATTACATCAAGCTTGCCGGCCAGATGGCAAGCTTGCCGGTCAGATGGCAAGCTTGCCGGCCAGATGGCAAGCTTGCCGGTCAGATGGCAAGCTTGCCGGCCAGATGGCAAGCTTGCCGGCCAGATGGCAAGCTTGCCGGCCAGATGGCAAGCCAGCCGGCCAGATGGCAAGCTTGCCGGCCAGATGGCAAGCTTGCCGGCCAGATGGCAAGCTTGCCGGCCAGATGGCAAGCTTGCCGGCCAGATGGCAAGCTTGCCGGCCAGATGGCAAGCTTGCCGGCCAGATGGCAAGCTTGCCGGCCAGATGGCAAGCTTGCCGGCCAGGTGGCAAGCTTGCCGGCCAGATGGCAAGCTTGCCGGCCAGATGGCAAGCTTGCCGGCCAGATGGCAAGCCAGCCGGCCAGATGGCAAGCTTGCCGGCCAGATGGCAAGCTTGCCGGCCAGATGGCAAGCCAGCCGGCCAGATGGCAAGCCAGCCGGCCAGATGGCAAGCCAGCCGGCCAGATGGCAAGCCAGCCGGCCAGATGGCAAGCTTGCCGGCCAGATGGCAAGCTTGCCGGCCAGATGGCAAGCCAGCCGGCCAGATGGCAAGCTTGCCGGCCAGATGGCAAGCTTGCCGGCCAGATGGCAAGCTTGCCGGCCAGATGGCAAGCTTGCCGGCCAGATGGCAAGCTTGCCGGCCAGATGGCAAGCTTGCCGGCCAGGTGGCAAGCTTGCCGGCCAGATGGCAAGCTTGCCGGCCAGATGGCAAGCCAGCCGGCCAGATGGCAAGCTTGCCGGCCAGATGGCAAGCTTGCCGGCCAGATGGCAAGCCAGCAGGACAGCCAGTTAGAAAAGAACCAGGGGAGCCAGCCCCATCCTGTCAGATATGAGAGATTTAGGGGAGCCGTTCACCTGCTGGACTTAGAACGACTTGCAGTCGTTGGCGATCGGGTGCGACTTTTACGAACGGAGCTCGGCGGGTTTATGAGCGCTCGCCGATTGTTAAGACGAGTCGATAATCTTTTAATGCCAGTTTTAATTGTCAGTAAAGTCAAGAGCAACTTGGCCGCATGCATTGTGTTATATAACCCCTTAGGGTGGGTCTATATGGGTCCAGACGCCCCCGGTATGGTCGGCATCTCTCCATATGGACAGTACATAGTAGACCTCATCTCTTCTGTATGGGCCAGAGTTCCGTAAGACTCATTAGACGGCATCGGAGGTATTGTTGCTGTTATGGACATGTTGGTTATTTGGCGCGCCGAGTTAGGATAGCTCACAACAACAAAAAATCGTTGAATACATAGAGGTTGTAATATGCGCTGCGCGATGTTAATTAACGGTTTTCCTTGCAGACGCTTAAGTGCGGGAAATGCGACGATAACTCACAGGCACGCTCAAGTCCACCGGTAGAATCAGTTAATGGTAGAGATTCAAATATGGTTCCTTGTTTTCTGTTGCATGTTAGCTTGGGTTGTTGTTGTTGTTTAAGATTCACTGCTTGGAACAAAAGTTCCAAGCAGCACGGGCTATGGTGAGCCCGTAGTTAGCTTGGGGACCATTCAAGCAGCTTGTTCGCACAAATGTTACTCACGTGGCCCCAGCAGGTGAGGGGATTTTATGAAATATTTGTGCCCAAGAAAGGTCACCAAATGCTGTCGGGGATTGGGTTAAAAGTCTGACGACTTCCAATCCTTTTGAACAGTCAGTGTGGCCCAGTGATTAAAGTACTGGACACGCCAACGGTGCATGGAGTCGTGGCTGTCTGGGTTCGAATCCTTCAGGGGTGAGGAGTTTTCTGTTATATACCTGACAGGTTAATGGTCGCGTGAGGAGGGGATGGTCCTCTGTGTGGTGTACTGGGGTGCTGGGGTTGTGTTCTTCAATGATTAACACAGTGTTGGTTGTTCGGTGTTAAACTGTTGGACACTGATAGGTACTTTATCCAGACCAAGTTCATGAAGTGGCCCTGCTCTTGTGTCGTCAATGTTGATGGATTGTTGTTGGTGGGTCACATTAGTGTGTATTAACACACGAGGTGCCTTGGCGGAGGCCTGGAGACCCCTACTAGTTTCTCGATTATTAACCTTAAGGTGTATTAACCTATGTTAGTTGATAACCTATCAAACATCAAATTTCGCTGTGGGGAGGCCTAATTTACAGACCTCGTAGTGTGACGCCTAGGGAGAAGGGTCTCTCTCTCTCTCTCTCTCTCTCTCTCTCTCTCTCTCTCTCTCTCTCTCTCTCTCTCTCTCTCTCTCTCTCTCTCTCTCTCTCTGTAAGTTTTGAGTGGTAGGTGCTGAGGAAGTTTACAGTTTAAGAGTGTTGTTAGTATGCTTTCAAGAATTGGCTATATAGTGCAATAAAAAAAGGGGGGGGATGAACAATACACTTTCCCCTTCTCCAATATATTTACCTTTACCGTTAAAATGATCGTGACCTGCCATCCACCCGAGGTCATCCACGTCGACCCCTCTTGCTAACCAGGGCAGGAAACAGGAGCCATTGATCGCTGTCACGCCACCACCAATAGATGGCGTTGTCCACGTAGCGTCCAATACCAGGGAAGTTTGATTTCAGACTCATAGATGGCGCTGGAATTGCCATGCCACACTCAGACGACGGTGCCGATACCGTAACAAAGTGTCTAATGCAGGCTTGTTGGTATACCCTCACTTTTCCTTTGATCTTCCTCGTGGGGCTTGTAGTGTTCCCTGCTCTCATGTTGGCATGCCACAGGAAGCCACAGTGGCCTTGTGGATACTGTTGTCAATCGCAGACACGGCCTGAACGGTTGGATGGATAGGCTGACGGTTGGATGGATAGGCTGACGGTTGGATGGATAGGTTGATGGTCTAGCTGGATTAGGCTTTGGAGTCATTTCTCTATAAATGTGCGGTGGGGCTGTACCTACCCCCTCCCCCAAGAGGTTAAATTCAGGATCTCTGGAGAGCCATGAACCTAAAGAGAATTGTTTGCTGCTTCACGTTTATAGGAATGTGGTCGGATCGAGCGTTCTTACCCTGGGTAAATGACTTTACAGTATTAAATGCCACAGTCTCGTCTGTCTCCCGTTATGAATGTCTTTGAATGGAGGCCCCTTGGAGGATTAAGTCTTTTGAGTCTGATGAGGTTGAAGGTCTTCCTGCCTCTGTGGGCTGCTTCGGCTGGCTGCCAGTGGTAGAGTGCCGGGTGGCGGGCATTAAAATATGCAATTATTGTAGGTAGGTTGCTGCTTACGTGAGGCATAGGGAGGGGGCGATGGTGCATATGAAAGAGACTGGGGGTGAATGTGTAAATGAGAGGCAAGGGGATAAGGGTGAATGTGAGATGCATGGGGAGATGAGGGCATATACGAAAGAAGGTGAAGGCGTATATGAGAAGCAGGTGGCGACGATGGCGTTAATGAGAGTCAGGTTGTGAGGGAGTATGTTGTTTGTGAGAGGGGGAGGGGAGGGGGGGGGGGGAAAGGCCGCACAATGTAAGTCTTAATGCAGCCGGGAGCGGTGGCAGGGCCGAGGTGCAGTGCTGTTCACCTTGACCTGGTTCCTGGCCTGCTGGGGGTGTACCCTTCGTCTCAGACACGGAGCGATGGAGTAATGCTGCAGGATTTGCATTTCCATTAAACTGTCCCCCCCAACCTCCACCCCACCCCTCCCCTCCCATCCCTCCCCCCCCCAATCAACCCCCATCCTACCACTCATCCATCCTGCCCCTGCCAGGTATACATACTGAAGACTAACGGGATGACCAATGTATTCGTACTTGGGTACACTGCCACAGCTTGAGTATTGTATACACACACACACACACACACACACGAGACAGAAACAATGAACACGACGAGCCTAAGGCATCGACAGGTCTCATTATCATCGATGATTTAATGCTAATTGCTTGAGTCATGACGGATATTGCAACAGCATAATTGGTTCATGTGGGTAGTGGGTTGGTGGTGTGTGTGTGTGTGTGTGTGTGTGTGTGTGTGTGTGTGTGTGTGTGTGTGTGTGTGTGTGTGTGTGTGTGTGTGTGTTCCGTGGTAGGTAAGCCTAGGCTGTGCCCTCCTGGGTACACACACCTGCCTGTGTGTGTGTTTGGCCTGCTAGATCACACCATAATCTTAGATCTAACTTCTTGAAGATCACACATCATGTGGTCTCTCCCACCTCTAGCTCGTTCACTTGATCCGGTGACTTCGTTCTTCTATCGTTCATGTCATGTCTGCTTCAGAGTGTGGGTATTGTGAGCCAACTGCAAGCCCCTGCACTCCCTCTATCGGCAAGTCCACTACGCCGAAGAAGCTAAACTTCCTAACTTTTTTTCTGAATCCTGTGTCCTGGAGGTCTTCTCGTCGTGTTGTTGGCATTATTCAACCTTACGACGTCACTACCCTCAAGGAGTGTAGTCATTATTGCGGGCGTGTCTGTGGCGTACTTGCTTAGGCAAGGAGAGGGAAGGGGAACTATCAAGGGGAAAGCGTCAAGCTACTTTTTTCGACTATATAGTACTGGGAAGGGGTCAGCATAAGGATTTGGGATGGGACGGGGGGAAAGGAATGGTGCCCAACCACTTATTGGGCACCATAATTGGCACCGTAATTGTAGTGCATTCCCTTCAACATCACAGCCCTTGTTTCTTATTTCCTCCTTGATGACGAGGAGTCCCGTCCACTGTTCACTGTCGTATATTCCCTATTTCCCTGTAGTGCATTCCCTTCAGCAGTTCGCTGTAGCACATTCCTCTCAGTCAGTCGCTGTAGCACATTCCCCTCAGCCGTTCACCATAATCTTCATAGTCGTGTAGCATAGTCCTACGTAACACGCAAAGTACAGCCATCAGTGTGAGCGTGGGTTACAGGGGTGTTGTGTAGTGGCAGCTGAATTAGACATTGGAGAAGGGACCAAGCACGCTCCCTGACGTACCCCGGCACCATTTGAGTGACTTTCATCGCTCCACAAAGGACTATTCTAAGGGGCCGTTCTACAACGTGGCCACATACTGCCTGTAAAACAGCTGGAGATAACTAGAGCTTTCCTGCCATTAGCATGTAGTTCCTTGACGTTGTAAGAGGATTCAATGCTCTCACGACCAGTATGGCACTTGTGTGTGGCTTGTGAAGTCCGTCTTTGGGCCCCAAAAATATGAAATAGACTAAGAGTGTTCGATCCTCTGAGATTAGCCCTGGACCACACAGCTGGTCTTGAATTCATTCAGCTTAAGGACAACTGCAGATCGGTTACCTTTGAAACCGTTTTGGTGGTTACAAAGTAAGAGATTTGTTTACACCTGTAAACAAACATGTGTCATGTGTTGATGCACAAGTGACTGACAACAGTGACACTGGTCATAGTATACGTGATGACACACAATGACTCTTGTTATTGTTATGATTTTAAATACAACTGCTTATTTCTGTGAACTAGGTTATATTACTTGAGCTGGGAACAGTTACTAGGCTAGAGGCTTGTATGTGACGATACTCTGTGTATGTTTGTCTGTTTACTCTCTCTCTCTCTCTCTCTCTCTCTCTCTCTCTCTCTCTCTCTCTCTCTCTCTCTCTCTCTCTCTCTCTCTCTCTCTCTCTCTCTCTCTCTCTCTCTCTCTCTCTCTCTCTCTGGCAAGCCAAATCCGTTTCACTGTGATTATATACATACTGCAAAAAACACTCATTTTGAAAACTGGCTATAGAAAATCTCTTTTTTATTTATACTTTAGTGAATATATCGTAACATTAATCAAAGTGCAGAGTGAAGCAAGAGTCAATCGCCTATGGTTCTGAACTGTAGGTTCAGAGAGCTGTTCTCTCTGTATGGTTGAGAGAACGTGTTCCAAATGCGTTACAGACGAGGAACGAATGCTCGATGCTGGCTGAGCGTCTTGTGTTATGACTTCCGTCTCCTAGTTGTCCACGAAGTTTGGAAGCTTTAGAAACACTGTATGTGGGGTTCCAGGTCTCCCACCCTGCACCGTCAATCCCTTCCCCTTTTGCAGGTTCCAGTTCCCGCCTCAGCTGCACCTAACTCCCCCCCCCCTCCCCCCGCCCGCCCCTCCATTCTCCACATTCTCCTCAGCCAAAACAACATTCTTTGCTGGTGGCTCGGCCTTCTCCTGACCGAGACACCTAAGTGTTGCTTGCTCGCTCCTTTTTATTTGGTTTCTTTTATCTCACCCCCTCTCCCTTCCCCCGCGTGTTGACTCCTGGGCCGTTAGGTGGCTGCTCTTGTGACTCCTCTGGGGAGGGCGGGGGCACTGGGGAAGGGAATGGGGCATGGGTAAGAAGGGCACTGGAAGAGGTGTGTATGGTCGTGAAAGTGGTTGTGAGTGGAGGGAGATCGTATGTGTGTGTGTGTGTGTGTGTGTGTGTGTGTGTGTGTGTGTGTGTGTGTGTGTGCGCATGCGTGTATGCAAGTGTTGCCAGCGTGTTGCGTACATAATCGTCAGACAACACACGCAGTTTATTTTTATCGGCGGGGCGACCTCTCATATGCCTGGCCCCAAAGGTCATGTTGTAACAGCCCCCGTGCATAATAATACCTACTTTCAAAAATGTGTTCAGTGCCTTGTGAAGTATGTGTGTGTGTGTGTGTGTGTGTGTGTGTGTGTGTGTGTGTGTGTGTGTGTGTGTGTGTGTGTGTGTGTGTGTGTGTGTGTGTGTGTGTGTGTGTGTGTGTGTATGTGTGTGTGTGTGTGTATGTGTTGTTGAGTCATGGAGTGTGTGTCGCGTAGACCTTTCCCAACCAGCTGTGTTGAGTGTGTTTAAAAGAAAAAGTTTGTGTTTCAAAAAAAAAAAAAGAGTTTGTAGCACTCGGACGCGGAAATGATCCTTTAACTGAGTAAATTATTACATAGAAAGTGGGAATAGTTGATTGAAAATGTTTTCGAACTGTCCCCTGATTTAGGAATATAAAAAGTGATCGTGACCTTAAAAGCATGGAACAAGTGATGGATACTACTGCAAGTGGCTTATACGTCTTTCAAAGTGCTTTATTAAGTGTGTGACAAGTGTACGTAGAGGAAAGCAGGAGGACATTACCTGCGGGAACCTTATGCAAGCCACAACAGGAAATTTCCCCCGACGCTGTCAAGCAGCTGTGGTGAGCAAGGTTGCAGAGGTAGGGAAGGGTAGCAGGAGTGGTGCTTGTGATCGTCCATAAACCTACCTAGTGAGGTGAGATCCGGCACCTGGCATCAGACGCTGAGGGCCTCCAGAGGCACCGTGACGGGACTGAGGGCCTCCAAAGGCACCGTGACGGGACTGAGGGCCTCCAGAGGCACCGTGACGGGACTGAGGGCCTCCAAAGACACCGTGACTCTGAGTTCCTCCGGGCGGCATTATCCTGGAACCATGGTTCTTCATCTGCTGCTCTTGACAGGTAAGTCTACTCACTTCCACTTTTAAACTTATATTTGTTTCCCATTTTCCATTCGCTGTGAAAATCAGAGGTTATATTTACACTTCAAGAACGAGCAGCATATGTTAAACAAAATTTTTTTGAAATTGAACCAAATGAGCAATGCATTAGGCATATTAATCCACGCGAGACAGGTCTTATTTGCAACACATTGCCAAAAAGTTTCGCGGTATTCGCTTCAGTAAATGCTTGGTAGATTCTGCCACCACACTGCTCACCTGTATCATGTATAAATATACGTCTGCCCAGTTCTAATTTTGTACACTTAATATTGTTTCTTTATCATCTTAATTTATCCTCATAAAATTTGTATTTGTCTACGTTAGTATTCACTTGTCTCTTCAGCGAGACGTCAAGCCATTTTAGGCCCTTTGAAAAGTTTACTAGTCTTCTTTTGAGTATATTATGTTGACTATTTGAGTATCGTCCTCGAGTTTACTCTAATATGAAGATGGTTAATGTATATTATGAATAATAGAGATTAGGGAGCCCTGAAGGACGTCGCTTGTGACCCCTACCCCTGAGACACGGCATCTCCGCCAGTGTATAGCATTTGGAAGGGATATGTGTATTTGGGATAGGACGAAGGGAAGGCACGGTGCCCAACCACTTTGACCATTGGGGCTCGAACACCGACCTCCAAGAAGCGAGGCCGCCGCTGTACCGAGACCATCGCAGATCCAGAAAGCTTACTGTGTAATTTTACGTATCCTTGGCTGGCATATCAGTATTATGGGTCAATGGAAGGGAAGTGTCAGGAAGCCTGTCGCAGGGAACCCCTCCCTCGGCTGTGTCAAAGAACAGCTTAATCAGGACCAGCTGAGCATAGCAGCGTGCCCCAGGAAGAGGCGGCGGCGCCCCCCCGTCAGCTAAATATAGGTGGAGAAGTGGTCCCCGGGGCGGCGTCCATCAGGAGGACACTGGGGCCGACAGTGTAGCCACGCAGGCAACACTTGCAGGCTGCCCTCTCTCCCGTCCAGGGTCCTGTAGCTGTCAACCGCCTCTCGTGACCAAGCACTCCCACTTTAAATCATTCCCAGTAATTGGCGTCGAACCAACCTCTCGGGTTACAGTCAACTGTTTAGCTTTCATGCAGTTTTTCACCATAATCTGCGCGCGTTGCTAATCGACTCGGTTAAATGAGCGTTCGGTGTTGGCCCCTTCTCTCCCCCCCTTCCCTCTACTGGCGTGAGAACTGCACCAATCAGAACGCCTGTAACATTGTCAGCTCCGTCTTAACGAAAGCCACGTCGGGGCTGTTACATGTTTTAGCAGTGTCTCGTGTTGCTCGCTGGCCTCTGCAGTTGCAACCTCGTGTGTGTGGATGTTGACCAGGACTCCTCAGCAACCCGATGCAAGTGATTTCGGTAATGGTCCTGTTTGATGCTGTGACGTGCTGTCTCCTCCCGTCGCGCGCGTCGCTTGGTCTCCCGTCCCTGCGGTCAGTCAATAGACGGAGCGCAGTGTCAACATGAGGCCAGAGTACGTGCCTGTACAGAGTACATATCGCCACGCACTGAAGAGTTATCCCGGGGGGAAGCCATGGCATAAGCGTACCCTTATTGGAACAGATTTACCACTGTACAACCTCACCCGTCAACCTCTCACTCATCATCTCACCCCTGGAGGTGGCGGGCTGGAGATGGATCAGGGGCCATCCACCCCCACACCCACTGTAGGCGGTGGTAGTGGGTCAGGGGGACACCCACAGTAGGGGCGGCAGCAGTCACCACTCCCAGCCACAGTAAGAGGGACGCCAGACTGCAGGCATACACGAGGCTTCCACACAATCTCCTCCCGAGTAAGCCTTACTGGACAAAGATCTGTCCAATATGTTCCCAACCACTTCTAGCCCGGGGAAATCGGTCGAGAGCCTCGATTGCGAGTCGTAGATGTAGACCGCTGGGATACAGGACTCACAATAAGGCTTTGAGACTGAGAACGAAACTGCCTTAGAAGCCGTTAGAGGTCGACTCCGTGAATTGGGAGGAGCAGCAACCTCTCATTTGTCACGTTAGTCGTGACTCTATTTTTGCAGCGCCACACACATGTGCTGGTTCAGAGGGCGGCGGGTACGAGGCTCAAGCACTCAAGTGTCCGTTCACCCCCTCCACAGGCCCGAGAGGGGAGCATCTCGCCTCTACTCGTCTCTTTACTGGATGCTGCTGAATGGTCATCTTGCCCATGAACAAATCCACAAGGACCGTGACAAGGATTCGAACCTGCGTCCCGGAGCATCCCAGACGCTGCCTTAATCGACTGAGCTACGACATGGTCAAGCCACCTACGACATGTTGTCTCTCTTGCCCCCCCCTCCCCCACTACATTGCCCACTACCACCAGCACCACACAGTCCCGTGCCATCACCTTCCCCCCTGCCACAACCCCCCTCCCTGCCCTGCCCTGCCACAACCCCCCTCCCTGCCCTGCCCTGCCACAACCCCCCTCCCTGCCCTGCCCTGCCACAACCCCCCTCCCTGCCCTGCCCTGCCACAACCCCCCTCCCTGCCCTGCCCTGCCACAACCCCCCTCCCTGCCCTGCCCTGCCACAACCCCCCTCCCTGCCCTGCCCTGCCACAACCCCCCTCCCTGCCCTGCCCTGCCACAACCCCCCTCCCTGCCCTGCCCTGCCACAACCCCCCTCCCTGCCCTGCCCTGCCACAACCTCCCTGCCCTGCCCTGCCCTGCCACAACCCCCCTCCCTGCCCTGCCCTGCCACAACCCCCCTCCCTGCCCTGCCCTGCCACAACCTCCCTGCCCTGCCCTGCCCTGCCACCACCACACTCGCGTCTGGTACACTCCAAACTGTCACCAAACTCTGCTACAAGTGAAAACACCTGCGATAGACCCATGACTGGCAGGGATAATGCACTTTCTACCCCCTACTGGGACTAGAGACACTATCCTGCCCCTGCTGGCACGAGGCACTGTCCTCCACCCTGCTGCTGGCACGAGGCACTGTCCTCCGCCCTCCTGCTGGCACGAGGCACTGTCCTCCACCCTGCTGCTGGCACGAGGCACTGTCCTCCGCCCTGCTGCTGGCACGAGGCACTGTCCTCCACCCTGCTGCTGGCACGAGGCACTGTCCTCCACCCTGCTGCTGGCACGAGGCACTGTCCTCCGCCCTGCTGCTGGCACGAGGCACTGTCCTCCGCCCTGCTGCTGGCACGAGGCACTGTCCTCCGCCCTGCTGCTGGCACGAGGCACTGTCCTCCGCCCTGCTGCTGGCACGAGGCACTGTCCTCCGCCCTGCTGCTGGCACGAGGCACTGTCCTCCACCCTGCTGCTGGCACGAGGCACTGTCCTCCACCCTGCTGCTGGCACGAGGCACTGTCCTCCACCCTGCTGCTGGCACGAGGCACTGTCCTCCACCCTGCTGCTGGCACGAGGCACTGTCCTCCGCCCTGCTGCTGGCACGAGGCACTGTCCTCCACCCTGCTGCTGGCACGAGGCACTGTCCTCCGCCCTGCTGCTGGCACGAGGCACTGTCCGTCACTGCTGCTGGTACGAGGCACTGTACTCCACCCTGCTGCTGGCACGAGGCACTGTCCGTCACTGCTGGTATCATCCGACACGGGAATGTGAAGCGTGTTAATGAGCCGTCGGACAGAGATGTGTTTCAGCGCTGGTAATGGCAAGATTGTGTTGATTTACTGGCGAGGGTCCTCGAGTCTGCCGGTGTGCTGGTTAGTCCTGCTGCTGAGTACCTCTCACTCACACCCCTGCTGTAACTTGCTGTCACCCCCCCCCCCCTGCTGTATCTTGCTATCACACCCCTGCTGTACCTTGCTATCACCATACTGCCCCCTCTAATTGATCAAGAATATTATAGGTGAAATTACTCCTAATTTAACCAATCTGGTGTTAATAGGGTTAATGGTATGGATACATTTTAATGTTTTGTTTATGGAGTTATTGGACAGAATCTGTTGGGGTTAATGGACGGAATGTGCTTTAAGACGGTGTTTCTTCTTGTATTGTCAAGTGATGGTGATTGTGGTGACAGTGGCCATAGTGGTGATTGTGGTGATAGTGGCCATAGTGGTGATACTGGCCATAGTGGTGATTGTGGTGACAGTTCTTCAAGTCTACTTGCCTCATTGTACCTGTTGTGTTATAATTAAACTACTCAAAACTTTCGAAATATTTGTCAATTCTGGCTTTTAAGTTGTGGATGGAGGTGGCTTTTACAACTTCTTCCCTCAGTGCCTTCAGTTTGTTGACCATCCGTACAGGGTACGAGTATTTCCTTATATTTCTAAGACTCGTTTACGTTTCCTGTTTCCACGTATGTCCTCTTGCCCTACTTTCTCTCAGTTTAAAGATTCTTTCCCTGTCCACCATATCTATTCAACCCGATCTTGTATGTCGTGATCATATTCCCACTGTTCTACGGTTGTGAGATATAATTCCTTTAACTTATTGTCGTAGTTTAGCCTGCTTACCTAATCTTGTTACAAACCTCTCTTCTTTTTGTTTTCAATTTTTGTTTTGTGCTTCACAAGTTGTAGATTCCATGCAGGTGCTGCACATTCCAGTACTGGTCTGACATAAGTTGTGTAGATTGCCTTGAAAGGTCTTTATTTATGCTTTTAAATGTCGTTTTATTGCTCTGGGTTACAATATGCTGGCGATGTTAACTTGTTTGTGTGTGCTTTTGGAGTTTGTGTTGGAATAATATTCACTACTAATTTTTTTCTGATTCCTGTAGTTGCCTTCCACAAACGTGTAGATACCTGCTGGTCTCACTTCTCACTGTCTCAGCTTTATTACCTTACACTCGCTTGAACTGAATTCTAAAAGCCATTTATGTACGCGAGTTTGTTAAGGTTCTCCTGCAAATTTCTGCAGTATTATGTTTTTACATTTCTCATTAAAATGTTTAAATTTTGCCCCGAGGGTCGAGTTTATTGGGCAGCGTCACTCATCCTGTGAGTGGCCACACCGCCATAGTGACAGTA